TTTGGCCTTGGAGGTTGACCAAAGATAATGAATGCTGAGTTTTCTCATTAAAGACCTTTGTGTGTGTGTGTGTGTGTGTGTCAGACCTCCCATCATCAGCTTCCTTCACACACACACAGAAGGCCCAGTCACAAAACAAACCCTGTACAGGTCAGAGGTCATAGGGGATGATATATTTTTGCTGACCACCACCAGGTTGTGCTGCAATCAGGGCTCCCTGTAGAGAAAGACACGATGGAGAACATTTATCACTGTCTGTGTTCTAGATGGACTTCATCGGTTCTCCGGGACCACCATGATGTCTTGTTTATGTGTGTGGCAGATGTTTACACTCTGCAGAACCTCTGTTTCTCTGTGGTGGAGCGAGTCTCCAACATCCATCTGATCTGCTGAAGAGAGAAACTCCTGAAGACGCATCATGTCTGTGGTTGTTGACCATTATACTGCCGTTGCTGATATTTATCAGCCTTGTTTTTGGATGGCCATCACAAAATCTGTATTGGTTGAGCACTATTCATGCGCACTTGCCTCTGTTACAGTTTTGCATTTTTACTAGCAATGAACAATATGTCGGTACCACTTCAATTATTGGCCAGTATTATTTTAATATACATGTCTCTAAATTGGTCATTATTGCATATGTATATTTATCTGCCAGATGTACATTATAATTGTGTAATCTCTTGCAAACCTCAAGATGAATATCCATTTTTTCATACTATAAATTTATAATGGCTAAATTCAAATAGCAAAAAAAAAAAAAACATTTGATTTCATTAATTTTATTCATTCTTTTAATATCATTCATTCATTCTTTTAATATCATTCATTTTTATAATGTCATTGCATTCATTCATTCATTATTTTAATATCTTTGCATTCATTCATTTTTTTAATATTATTGCATTCATTCATTCATTCTTTTAATATCATTCATTTTTAATGTCATTGCATTCATTCATTCATTCTTTTAATATCATTGTATTCATTCATTCATTCTTTTAATATCATTGCATTCATTCATTCATTCATTCATTCTTTTAATATCATTTCATTCATTTATTCATTCATTCTTTTAATATCATTGCATTCATTCATTCATTCATTCTTTTAATATCATTGCATTCATTCATTCTTGCATTCTTTTAATATCATTGCATTCATTCATTCATTCTTTTAATATCATTGCATTCATTCATTCATTCATTCTTTTAATATCATTCATTTTTAATGTCATTGCATTCATTCATTCATTCTTTTAATATCATTGCATTCATTCATTCATTCATTCTTTTAATATCATTGCATTCATTCATTCATTCTTTTAATATCATTTCATTCATTCATTCATTCATTCATTTAATATCATTTCATTCATTTATTCATTCATTCTTTTAATATCATTGCATTCATTCATTCATGCATTCTTTTAATATCATTGCATTCATTCATTCATTCATTCATTCTTTTAATATCATTGCATTCATTCATTCTTTTAATATCATTGCATTCATTCATTCATGCATTCTTTTAATATCATTGCATTCATTCGTTCTTTTAATATCATTGCATTCATTCATTCTTTTAATATCATTCATTCATTCTTTTAATGTCATTGCATTCATAATTCTTTTAATTTCATTGCATTCGGTCATTCATTTTTTAAATCTCATTGCATCAGTAGTTTATACCTCTGCTCTAGTTTCGGCATTACTCTAACTAGATTAAACTTGAATCTCTTGCCATTGCATTATTAGCTCTTGTATGATAAATTGCTTGTGATTGTTCTTCATTTTAGGTTTCTTTGAACATAAGAACATTGAAGCCTTCACTAAAAGCCTTTGGAAATGATTGCCAGGGTTTTGCTTTGCTTCGATGAACTGGTACTTTACTTTGGAGAAGGATCTTTCTGTTGGAATTCAGCAGCTTGTTCTGAGTCTCGTTACATCGAAGGAGACATTTTTAGTCACAGTTCAATAGTCCTTGAGTGTTTTGTGGACAGGGTTTTTCCACAGTGACCCTGCTGTGTGTATCTTAATGATTGTGTCGACGTGAAAAGGGATTACGTAATTGGAGCCCCTCTGTTTTGTCCTTGCTCATCCTTTCAGAAAAGCCTGTCTCATTTAATGAAGTTATTTCAGGACGCACTTTTGCTGCTGCTGCATTTCAATGTGAAAACTGTTAGTTAGGTTACAGCACTGGGATCCAAAACCCTGCTCTCTTGAATTGTTGTTAAGGACAGGACAGTCTGTAGGAAAAGTCAATGCAAGTTAACCAAGCAGTCATAAAATGTCATGAACCTAGCAGTTCGTTTTTTCTGTCACATTGTTTTTTTTACTTTATGTGAGTCTGTTTGCAAAAATGTATTAGTACTACTAGCATGACTTGATCACCATAATAATTTTTCAATGCACTTTCAAAACCCAGTCAAAGGATTTGCTAAATGGTTTTCTGTAGGCTTTTGTTGAAACAATACATTTAAACATTTTTATCTATTCTGCCTCAATCGTGTAATTTATTTGAATGTATCTTGGGTTTTTCCAGGCAAATACTGTGATTTCTGCAATTATTCAGTTGATTATACTACATGCAAGGTATTTTTTTAATCAATTCACTTCACAGTAATAAAAATGACCATTTGAAGAAACTCTTCTCCAGCCTACAACCAGGGCAGCGATCTCCCTTCCAAATCCAGTGTTCTCAATCCTCGTTGCATTTTATGTACCCCAACTGTGAATTTGGGTCAAACCTGCTCTTGCTGCTCATCTGCTTGCTGCAAATCAAAATGCCTTTAAACCTTTGCATAATGCTAAAATTGCAACATGCTTATTGTTTTATTTATTGATTTATTGATTGATTGATTGAACAGAGTGACGTATCATATACAGAAAGAGTTAACGATGCTTCTTTTTTTTTTTTTTTTACAATTGTCTCCCTTTCCCACAACCCACCCACTGAACAGAGGAGAAAAATTAATAATAATAAAATATATAAACAATATTAAAAAAAATCCAAAATGGAAAACCAGAATCTCCAAGTTCTTATAATACAAACAGTGAAAAAATAATTGACAGCATTGTTTGCCCATTGCATTATCCGTTTCATTGTGCACAGGCTTTTTAATAACAATATTAGATTTAGTTTGGTGGTACAATTACGTCCTTTTCAAAATAAGAAAGCATTGGGGACCATACTGAATAAAAACATTTGGTGGATCTTACTAAGAGAACATCTCATTTTTATCCAGTTTCAAGAACAGCATCACATCTCTAAGGCTGTATGTCCACCAAAGCGTTTTTCCACGCGCCTGGCGTGTGTTTTCAATTGTTTTCAATGGGAGCGTCGCGGTTTTTAAACGCGATGCGCGTACCGAGGCGCTGAGCGTTTTTTTCACGCTGAAGCGCCGAGCGCCCGGCGTTTTTACTGGTTGCTGGGAGTTGAAAAATTTTCAACTTCAGATAAAACGCAGCGCTCATCACTGTCACTTTTTACCCAGCCGTCCAATCACAGTGGAGGAGGGGCCGGACTAATGCCACACTGACCAACTGTCAACATTCAACTGCTGCGGATATTCTGTATCATAGCAACGAAACGTCTCAACGGAAAAAACGCTGCGCTGCCAAAACGCTCTCAAGCGCCCAAAGCACGGCCAAAAAACTCTTTGGTGGACACACGGCCTAAGCCAGAGTGAAACCAAAAGCGGTTTACTTGATTTCCAATCAAGTAATGTTCTTCTCTGAGCCGAAAGACATGCAAAACCACATGTGTCTTGACAAGTTTTGGATATTACCACACCAAGACTGCTACCTCAAAACTAGGCCTGATATCGTTAACATATGCCTCAGACAAAATTTTAAATATAGCTGTCCAGTAGACTGGGACAAGCTCAAAACACATGAGCAAGGTTTGCTTTAGGAGAACGATTACGTTCACATGTGTCCGCAACATCTTGGACAGCCTAACCTTGCTGTAATGAAGCCTGTGGAGGAACTTGAACTGGATTAAACCCAAGCGAGTACAGGAGGTTGTTGCATTCACTCTAATTAATACATTATTCCAGGTTTCCTCCGATATATCCAAATCATTTGTCCATTCTGCATGGATTTCGTATAGATTCATATTTTTTATTGATATTGAAGTATTATATAGTGGACTGGATATCATATATGTGGGACAATGATTTTGGATTATCTATATATTGACTAATGTATGTGCTGTACATCAGAAACTGAACCATGGGAGAAGGTGAACACGGTGGAGATGGGATGTATTGTCTCTTATTCCTGTTCCTCTTTTTTTTTAGGCCTAGGGAAAATAGAATGAAGATTATTATTTCTGTTCAGAAAATAAGGGTCATGCAGTTTATCTTGTAGGTCAAGCTATATAATTGATTTAGCAGATTTTTTGGTGCGCCGATAGCGATGTCCGATCGTGTTACATGATTCTGTATAGCACATTATATGTGGCATTCACACGATATTCATGAACATGAAAACCCCATTAAGGTCATCATCAGTGGCACCTTCCCAACCCACAAATGTTAGCAGAAGTTAAACTGCTGGAGTCTCCATTGGGAATAAGAGTCACACACACACACACACAGTATACAACTAAATGCACTTAGTTGTGCATACGTGTAATGTATGCATTGCATTTGGGGGCTCCAGTGAATAAATGTGCCATGAAAAGTTCTCCTTGCCTAATGCATAATCCAGTTTGAAAATGTTCTCTTGATTTGAACCCGTACTTGGCCCACACAAGTAAGCAGAAAAGCAAAAAGAAATGGGTATTAATATTTTTTAAATGGTCTCTTTGTGAGAAGACCTAGTCATCAGGCCAGTTTTGCGGCACTTATCTAACAGTCTTACATTGTTCTGTGGTCATAAGAAGGTTTTGAGAAAGACATCCCACTCTCTTGGAAGAGTGTCTGAATAAATGTATTCTGCTGTTCTCTGTGAGTTGCCTTAATGTGCTTTTGTTTTTCTCCTTGCTCCCAACAGATCGCTCTCCTCCAGCTGTCGTCCTAAATTAGCTGAGCTCTGTGAAAGGATAGCCGTTTCAACTGACCCCTTCTGCTCCTTGAAGCTCCAGCCGTCCGTGACACCCAAATGCCGCCTGTCTTTCATCAAACTGGTCACTCCTAAAGAAAAATGGACTTGGAGTGAAAAGAAACCCCTTCATGTGGACTCTAGGACAACTCTCAAGCTAGCCAGATAGCTGGCCCTCGGACTCAAATGGGTGGCCTATGACGATGTAACCGATAGGGGGACTTGAGTTCTCGCTTTCCCAAGAAGCCGCAAGACGGATATGAGCTTGAGTCGATAAAACAAACCTTCCATCGCTTGAGGGCTTCTCTAACGTCATGCAGTCATCTGAGGAATTGTTTACCAGGAAGCTGAAAGCATTGAATGGGAGTATGGGACATCCAGCGACCAACACACAGGGCAAGCTGGAAGGGGGTGGGAAAACCAATGGGACGCCCGCCATGCCTAAAATGGGGGTGCGAGCCAGGGTGACGGACTGGCCCCCGAAAAAGGAGGGTTGGGAAAGCCGAGGCGGGCCCAACTACGAGAGCGTCATCGCGGCCTTTCAGAACGGGCAGCCGGACCAAAGCGGGGAGATCACGGATTTGGGGGATTCGGATTATTCGGATGCAAAATATTCCCTGAGTGACCTTCTAAGTCTATCCCCTTTGAAGGGGCTTCATCCCATTCGCCAGCGGAGTAATAGTGACGTGACCATCAGTGACATTGATGCGGAGGACATATTGGACCAGAACGCCGTCAACCCAAACACTGGTGCCTCGTTGCATCGGGAATACGGCAGCACTTCCTCTATTGACCGCCAGGGTCTCGGGAATGAAGGGTTCTTTACCATGTTGCGAGGGTACCGGATCGACAGTTTGGACCATCGCAGCGCCCCGCCCGTCGGTTTCCCAGAACTCCTTCGCTACGACACTACCCTCTCCCCGAGCTTGCAGACCGCCGCTCAAATCGCCCGCGGTGAGATCGTCCGAATCTCAGGCTACGACTACGTGGACGGCTCGCTCCTCTACAGCCGAGAAAGGGAGAAGTCTTTCATGCGTCGTCTCAAGTCGGAGTCGTCCGAGACGTCGCTTTTTAGGAAGTTGAGGACTATTAAAAGCGAGAACGATGGTTTGCGACTCTCCACCGAGCAGGACGACCGCCGGCCGCTCAGTTTTCAGAAATGCTTTGCTCACTATGACGTCCAGAGCGTACTCTTCAACATCAGCGAAGCGGTGGCGAACCGCATCAGCCTCAACCAGAGGAAAAACACCACAACCGGAGCTTCTGCTGCCTCGCAGTACCAAATCCCAGGAGGCGGACAGGTGGGTGCCAATAATACCGGACCTGCGTCCATGTTCGAATCGCCGCTGGGAAGTCGGGAAGACCTCAATCCCAAGGAGAACCTGGATGCGGACGAGGGGGATGGGAAAAGCAATGGTTTGGTGCTCAATTGCCCGCATTTTCGCAATGAGGTTGGTGGAGAGGGGGAGAGGAGGATCTCTCTCTCCAGGGCCACGAACAGCACTTACAGTGCTGGAGGAGAAAACTGCTCTTTCGAGTCATCCTTGAGCTCGCACTGCACCAACGCTGGTGTGTCTGTGCTGGAGGTGCCACGGGAAAGCCAGGCAATCCACCGTGAAAAGGTCAAGCGGTACATCATCGAGCATATCGACCTGGGAGCGTATTATTACCACAAATTCTTCTATGGCAGAGGTAAGCCTTGTTATTTTGGCGTGAAAAATGGGGTTGATTCTTGTTTGCAACTGGTTGTATTTAAAATATTCATCAGTTCATGTTATTACAAAGAAAACAAGGTTTTTATTGTTTGTGATCTTGCTTTGCCTCTGAAACATCTTTCCTCTTTTAGTGGGTTTCATAAAGGTTGTGTTGGTGTTTTTTTAGTTTTTTTATTCATTATACTAAATTACACGACCCAATAAAAACTCCACCCCCCCCCCTCCACACACACACACACACACAATAAAAAGATGAGTACTGCAAAAAAAAAAAAATCTTAAAATTTAAATGATATCCACAAGTTTCCGAGGGGCGCTCCTGTAAAAAATAAAGTGGGTGAAACTTCCGGTGACGCGGCGGAAGTAGCATTCCAATGGTGTTTTGTGTGTTAGTTAGCGAAGAGGCTAGCTGTTTTTCGGAGAATTATTTTACTATTTAAAGACGCAAATCTTTATGAGAGATGTCGTTACGGAGCTCAGGGACAACATGTGCTGCTCGCGGTTGTATGTATAACCGGACTAAACTAATTTAGTGGCTTAAACGTGATTGTTTTGAACATAAGCTGAAAACGAAATCAGAGTGATTCTGCCAGAGCCCGTCTCTGATCCTGCCAACGACTGTAGTTTCCATCACCTCCCAAAAGATGACGAATCTTCCTGTGTACATTTGTTTAAATTCTTAATGTTCTATAAACTCTATCAGCATGTGATTGGCTGTTTTCTACTGATGTTACACCTAAACTCAGGATCAAAGCCTGTGTTGACAGAATAATGTGCCAGTTAATGTATTCAAGCAGCACATTCATTTATAATTTTGAATAAACTCCAAAGCACAATGACTAAGTGTGTATTTTTTATTTTAATTGTTTGTCAGCTCACACAACTGTCTGTCACCATGCCTTGATGAGTATTGATTATTAATAATGTTATTATAATACTCCCAATCAACTACTGCGGAGGGTAAAGGTACTGTTATTTCACCCTTTTTAATTTCGTTGAGGTTGTGTTCCCACATCGTTAGCTAGTTTGGATCGCTATAACTTGAATGACTGTCAACTGTTGAATGAACGAGTGTCAAGCATGTCAAATCGCGCTTTGTTTACTTCCAACCAGAAGTCGCGCAAGGCCTCATGGGGCATAGGAAACTTGTGGATAGATTAACTTGAAATGCAACTCTGAATATTAAATATAATCATAATAATACGAGTTTTCATAGATTTTATCTTGAATTGAGGTGCATTTTGGCTAATTTCACTTGCTTTTAAGTAGTTTATATACAAGTGAACAAATCTAAATAAAATAAAGTAAAAGTTTTTGTTTACATAATATATATAATATATATATATATATATAAATACACACATGCATGTATATTTAAGAAAAAAATATTATTTATATATAAAATATAAATATTTATATATAATATAAATTATATATAAATCTTTATACAGTATACTGTATACATGAAAATATTTCTTAAATATATGCAAGCAAAATATTATTTATATATAACATATTAATATTTATATATAATATAAATGATATATAAATCTATATACATGAAAATATTTCTTAATATAAACAAGCATGTGTGTGTATTTATTTATATATATATATATATATATATATATATATATATATATATATATAAAATTATACACAGTGCACCCACATATATTATGTAAACACAAACTTTTATTTTGGATGCGATCAATCGTTTGACAGCCCCAATATAATCATAATAAAATGAGTTTTCATAGATTTTATCTTGAATTGAGGTGCATTTTGGCTAATTTCACTTGCTTTTAAGTAGTTTATATACAAGTGAACAAATCTAAATAAAATACACACAAAAATAAAAATAAAATACATTCGTATTATTGACACATCTATGAAAACAAGTCTAGATATCTCCTTCAGTGTTGCCTTTCAAGTAAATTTAAAGAGATTTTAGATATTTTAAGTAGATTTACCTCATTAACTCTGAAACCTGTATGACCAACTTTTCTATACAATGAAAGCCAGTGGATTTCAATGCTGTTGGAACTTTTCATCAAAATATCTTCTGTTGCGATCCACCATCCACGAAATTGAGTACAAAATACTGATTTCCATTTTTTTTGCAGTGTTAATTATTAAAGAACTTGAATCTTGTAATATTTTCTCTTTTGGGTGCTATTCTGGTGATTTGGGGACTGAGACAATAGCAGCTTTTTTTAAGATGGATGTTTGTTACACATTTTAAAGGGAGAAATGCTTGTTATTTTTCCATGAAAAATATGGTTGATTCTTGTTTGCAACAGGTTGTATTTATAATATTCATCAGTTCATCTTATTACAAAGAAAACAAAGTTTTTATTGTTTGTGATCTCTTCCTCTTTAGCGGATGTCATAAAGGTTGTGTTGGTGTTTTTTTATTTATTTTATTCATTATACTAAATTACACAACCCAAGTAAAAAAACTCTAAACTAAAGTGCCCAAAAAAGATGAGTACTGCAAAAAAAAATAGTAAAATTTAAATGATATAGATTAACTTGAAAGGCAACACTGAATAAAATATAATTATAATAATATGAGTTTTCATAGATTTTATCTTAAATTGAGGTGCATTTTGGCTAATTTCACTTGCTTTTAAGTAGTTTTATACAAGTGAACAAATCTAAATAAAATACACACACACACACACACACACACAAAAAAACCAGCCAGTTCAGTGAGATAAAATGAAAACAAGTCTAGATATCTCCTTCAGTGTTGCCTTTCAAGTAAATTTAAAGAGTTTTTAAATATTTTAAGTAGATTTACCTCATTAACTCACACTTATATCATTCGAAACATGGTATACAATGAAAGTCAGTGGATTTCAATGCCGTTTGGAACTTTTCATCAAAATATCTTCTATTGCGATCCACCATCCACGAAAATGAGTACAAAATACTAATAACAAACTTAAAATCCCATTTTTTTGCAGTGTTAATTATTAAAGAACTTGTATCTTGTAATATTTCTCCTATTCTGGTGATTTGGGGACTGAGACAATAGCAGCTTTTTTTAAGCCTGATGTAGGGAGAAATGCTTGTGCCAAGGACTGAGGTGTGAGAATGTTGTCCTGTCTTTGGCCCGTGATTTGTCATGTGAGAACAGACAGGGTGAGGTGCAGCTGTTCCCCTCCGAGGAGCCGTGATGGCGAGAGGTGAGACGGGACCCTCTCCTCACACCGCAGTCCCACCGCTCTTCATTAAAACACCTCTGCGTGTCTGGGAATGGAACGAGCCAAACGATACTCTGACTTATCCTGCACAATGTCATTGGTGTTTGACTGAGAAGGTGTCAGCGGCTGTCAGACTGCTTTTTTTGCGTGTCTGCACATCTGCATAGTCCTGACAGGATTGTGTTACCCATTCCTAAGCTCTGGAAAACAGCTGCTCCACCTCTCGCCATGCAGAAATTCATTTCTTTCCTTTGACTGTGCTGAATAATGAGCCGAAGCCTGTGGGTGAAAGCTGCGATTGTGTCCTGCACGTTCACGGGCTTTCCAGCCATAGCGAATGAGCAAATTACAGCTCAGCTCAAATGACAATAAATCATGTTAGCAAGCTCGTTCTATTGGGAAATAGATAATCATCCGCCTTGCCGTGTCGCCAAAGACCTTTCAAGCAGAAGAGCTCAATTTCCTCTGTGGGTTATATTTAAGACACTGATTAATCTTGTGCATTTAACTATATATTTGAAGTGCTGTTTAAAGAGGGAGGGAGTTTAAACTCGAAATGATATCCAAATGGACCCTATTCAAAGAACTTTTTTGGATGGATGGGCTTTAATTCTAAACTAATTTATTTAATTTAATTTATTTTCTTAGACTGTAACTTGCAGTTAATGTAGATTTACTCATATATTGCTGATTATATACGTTAACACATACGTTAAATAAAGGCAATAATAGCAAATAATGACACATTTGTCAAGAAAGACGATTTCGTCTCAAGGTTCTCATCTACTCAAACATCCCATTTCATGTTGATTTAATGAAATGCATAACTTCAAACTGAATTAAAATGAATGCATTACTTGAATGCATAGCTTTACATTAAATTCAATTGAATGGAAAAATTCAAACGGAATTCAGTTGAATGCATAACTTAAATGCTTGACTTTGCATAACTTTTAAATTGAATTAAAATTAAATGCATAACTTGAATGCACAACTTTACATTAAATCAAATTGAATGAATGATGGATAACTTAAAATGTTATTAAATTTAATGCATGATTTGATAACATGACTTCAAATTAAATGCATAACTTGCATAACTTTTAAAGTGAATGCATAACTTTTAAATTGAATTAAAAATAAATGCATAACTTTAATGCATAGCTTTACATTAAATTCAATTGAATGGAAAAATTCAAATGGAATTCAGTTGAATGCATAACTTAAATGCTTGACTTTAAATTAAATGGAATGCATAACTTTTAAATTGAATAAAACATAAATGCATAACTTGAATGCACAACTTTACATTAAATCAAATTGAATGAATGGATAACCTATACAATGTTATTAAATTTAATGCATAATTTGATAACATGGCTTCAAATTAAATGCATAACTTGAATGCATAACTTTTAAACTGAATGCATAACTTTTAAATTGAATTAAAAATAAATGCATAACTTGAATGCATAACTTTACATAAAATTCAATTGAATGCATAATTTAAATGCTTGACTATAAATTAAATTGAATGCATAACTTTTAAACTGAATTAAAAATAAATGCATAACTTGAATGCACAACCTAACATTAAATCAAATTAAATGAATGGATAACTTTAATTTGTATTAAATTTAATGCATAACTTGTTAACATAACTTCAAATTAAATGCATAACTTGAATCCATAACTTTTAAATTGAATTAAGAATAAATGCATAACTTGAATGCACAACCTAACATTAAATCAAATTGTATGAATGGATAACTTAAAATTTTATGAAATGTAATGCATAATTTGATAACATGCATAACTTTAAATTAAATTTAAACTTTGAACTTAAATGCATGGCTTGAAATGGAATTAAATGTAATGCATTATGTGAGTCAGATAGTGATTTTATTTTGACGGTCTGACTTTCCCGAACTAACAGTCAAAGTCCATTTAACCTTTCTAGCTGCTCATCGCCCCATCAGCGTCTCTACAGGACCTGGAAAGGACAGACCTGTCAACATGTCTCTCCCAGGAGCCACTATCCCTTTCACACCTGACTTTCCATGATGCTTTTATCACCCTGGGAGTTGCATTGATTCCATTAACTTCCTCTCTGCGTGATCGGAGAGGATGCAAGATGTGACATGCCTACTGAAAGTTTACAGTACAGTTGCATTAATTCATGCTTGTTATTAATACTTCATCTTGTTGAGCATCGTGGCCTCCTGGTGCTGATGGTCAAGCTGATGTCTCCTTATCTTTCCAGCAGGCTTGTGTTTTAGAGAAGAATTCAGCAGTGTTTTACTCTTCATTTCAGCTTTAGGCTTTACCCTCATGAGTGTTCAAGTGGATGAGATGAAGTGTTTGTTGTCGTTCACCTCTGGATTTGAGTTGGATTAAGGGCTGTTGTAGAACGTTTTCAGATCTCTCCCATCATGCAGTTCGCTTCTGCTATCGTAACTTTAAATAAGGTTGTATTTGTTTTTGTTTTTTCATGTTGTGCCATCAGCAGGATCCCACACACTACTTGAGCTGTTGCTAATTTCTTTGTTGTCCCATATTTTTATTTTGTGTGTGCATGTGTTTTGCATGAATGCGCATTATCCCAATGCTTTAGTACACATTATCTGTTATATTGCATAATTTTGGCCTGGGGTTTTCAACACTGTGTCCAAATGCATGTTTGTCTACAAAGGGGCTTACTAAAAAAGGATATGAAAGAGAAAGAGGTTAAGCCTCGTCTGTGGCGGGTTTTGTTAATCTCTGACGGACTCCTGTGGTCAGTGAAATCTGAGATTATGGATCATGTATGACACTGATGTGTCTGCGAGACTGTGTGGAATCTATGGAGATGCTGCGCCCTGATCAGACCACATCAATGCCATGTAGACCATATTAATATAATCCACATTTGCTGGGGGTTTTCTTTTCTTTTTTTTTTACTTTATTTTATTTTATTTTTACTCCCAAATTAAAAGATTATCTATCTATCTACCCATCTGTCCTTTTGTCATTCCATCCATCCATCCATTGTTTTGTCATTCCATCCATTTCTTTGTTGTTCCATCCATCCATCATCCTTTTGTCCATCCATCATCTTTTTTCATTTCATCCATCCATCTATTTATCTTTGTTGTTCCATCCATTTATCCTTTTGTCTATCCATCATCTATCCATCCATTCTTTTTACGTTTCATCCTTTTGTCCTTCCATCCATCCATCATTTTTCCATTCCATCATTTTGTCATTCCATCCATCATCCATCCATACATTCTTTTTTCTTTGTATCCTTTTATCATTCCATCCATCCTTTCATCCATCCATTGTTTTGTTGTTCCATCTATTTATCTTTGTTGTTCCATCCATCCATCATTTTGTCCATCTATCATCCATCCAGCCATCCATTCTTTTTTCATTTCATCCTTTTGTCCGTCCGTCCATCCATCCATCTTTTTTCCATTCCATCCATCCATCCATCCATCATTTTGTCATTCCATCCATCATCCATCCATCCATCTATTCTTTTTTCGTTTCATCCTTTTGTCATTCCATCCATTTATCTTTGTTGTTCCATCCATCCTTTTGTCCATCCATCCATCCATCCATCATCCATACATTCTTTTTTCGTTTCATCCTTTTGTCATTCCAACCATCATTTTTCCATTCCATCCATCCATCCATCATTTTGTCATTCCATCCATCATCCATCCATCCATCTATTCTTTTTCGTTTCATCCTTTTGTCATTCCATCCATTTATCTTTGTTGTTCCATCCATCCATCCTTTTGTCCATCCATCCATCCATACATTCTTTTTTCGTTTCATCCTTTTGTCCTTCCAACCATCATTTTTCCATTCCATCCATCCATCCATCCATCCATAATTTTGTCATTCCATCCATCATCCATCAATCATTTTGTCATTCCATCCATCATCCATCCATCCATCCATTCTTTTTTCATTTCATCCTTTTGTCTTCCAACTATCATTTTTCCATTCCTTCCATCCATCCATAATTTTTTCATTGCATCCATCATCCATCCATCCATCTATTCTTTTTTCATTTCATCCTTTTGTCATTCCATCAATTAATCCATCCATCTTTGTTGTTTCATCCATCTATGCTTTTGTCCTTCCATCCATCTATCCATTCATACTTTTTCAATCCATCCATCCAACGTTTTATTGTTCCATCCATTTTTTTGGCCTTCCATCCATCGTTTGTCGTTCCATCCATCCAATGTCACAATACAAAAAAATCCTATAGTAAAATTCTATTTATTTATTTATTTAGACCTTAATTGTCAAGAAAATAATCTCACAATGTATATCAAAATGTAAAAATCATAATGGTCCTAAAATAAACTTGCTTGCTTTATTTTTAAAAACATATTTTAAATAATGTCACAATGCCAAAATCCTAAAATAAGCAGGTCTATAGGCCATTATCAGTGGAGTTTCCTGTGTGTGTTTCTCCTCAGCATGACCGGCACCAGAGAGACTGAAGAGTTTAAATAGCTCTCTCTGTCCCCTTCGCTCAGGGTTATCTGTCCTTCTTGAACCTGACCTCATATCTCCCTCTCTTTCCTGTCATTAACCCCCAGAGCACCAGAACTACTTCGGGGTGGATGAGAACTTGGGCCCGGTGGCCATCAGCGTTCGGAGAGAAAAGCTGGACGATGGGAAAGACAAAGAGGCATCGCAGTTTAACTATCGGGTCACCTTCAGGACCAGTCAGGTACGCGAGTGCTTGACAAATGGACACGAATCAGCAAATATTGATATAAATAACTATTGATAATTCATTTTTGGATTAATTAATGAGTATATCATGTGTAATGAAAAATGAATGGATTGATGGCCCTAATTGCAATACAATCTTTAGTAGTTTTAGAAGGACTAATGGTGTCACACTGGAAATAATAGTTCCACATAAACATGAACTGAAACGAAGGAAGCTTTTAATTAATATTGAGAGATGAAACTCTCCCTCTTTCATACTTACAAGCTTAAAAATGTCTTGGATTGCATTGGCAACATTTATAATAATCCCCATTTTATTAATGATCGAATCATGAAATTGTCATCAAAATAATTTATAATGCTGGAATTTTAATGGTCCTAACATGAACTTCATTTTCTAAATTATTTATTTATATGTTTGTTTGTTTGCTTTCTTCTTATTTATTTGTTTAATTACCGGTATGTATTAATTTGGGACAGATCATCATAAACTTTTAAAATTCTTTATGCAAAATATAATTTCCTTTTTTTCTCTCTCATGGGGTGAAATATTATTATTATTATTATTATTATTATTATTATTTGAGGACAGTAAATCAACAAATGCCCACATGCAGATTCCTCTTTCTCCACCGCATTAAACCTCAGGCTTTGATCTTCAGCTCCTAATGGCACTCGTTCACAATTAATCTGAATGAAGCCTTTTGTCATTTCCTACATGCCATAGATGCTCAAACGACTCAATATTTCAGAATGACCCTATAAAGAGATGTTAGATAATTCAGCATAAAAGGCTTTTACTTAATAAGTGCAGATAAAAGGGTTGAGACTCAAAGAGCGCGTCCTCGAATCTCCTGCAAGGGGGATGATTTCATTGACAATAACAGGATTCTTTCAGATTCTTTCAAAATATGCATAGATATATTGGGATATCAATTTAGTTTATTAGAAAGAGAATACGTACTTGAGGCCATATACTCATATGACACTATTAAGCCATCAGATAATAAGAATTTGGATGGTTTGAGGCAGGAAAATGCCCTTTCTGTTTAATGCATGTGTAGTGATCTCGATTGTAATCCAACCTCTTGTCTTTCTCTGGCCCTCTTCAGTTAACCACCTTACGCGGGGCGATCCTGGAGGACGCTGTGCCGTCCACGGCGAGGCACGGGACGGCCCGCGGTCTCCCACTGAAGGAGGTGCTGGAGTACGTGGTGCCGGAGCTGAACATCCAGTGCCTCCGACTGGCCCTCAACTCTCCCAAAGTCCCCGAGCAGCTCCTCAAGCTGGACGAGCAGGGGGTGAGGACTAGTCTAGAGCCATGAAATATGATGTTATGGGAACCATATATAGATATGCATAGAAGGGCTGCACGATTTGGGGGAAAAAATCTACTAGCAATTTTTCTCCGAAAAAGTTTATTTCTTTATTTCTGTTGCAATTTGAAAAAAAAAAAAATTATGCATTTTTTTTTAATTAATAAAATATTATTAAATATAATAATTATTATTATTTATTAAAATACAAGCAAAATGTACTAAATTAAAACAAAATAAGAAATTATTGTATTATTTCAATGAAAAAATAGTGTTTAAAAAAATGATGCATTAATTTCTTAGACAGAAAACTGCTGGTAGGGAACATATATTTATATAATTAAAATGTGTTCATTGTGATGTGATCCTCGTAATATGATCATTTTGGTTTTGTTTAGATTAATTGTGTAGCCCTAATGCATAGTGTCATTTATTTTATTGCTTTTGCTCATGTTTTATAATGTCATTGTAGTGGTGACTGAATTTTTATTTTTTGCTTGTTCTATGGTGATTTTTACCACATCAGCCGTACTTTAGTCTGGTTTTAATGCAGCATTGGATCTTTACACTGCATTTTGTGCAGTGACAGAGCAGCCTTGACTTGGCTGTGTGCATCGTTTCTCACAAATCCGAGTTATATCTGTAACACAGCAGTTCTGAAAGTGTTAATGCAAATAGTGCATGGTTATATGACTAAAAATCAACATGCACTGGGTCTCTAAAGCACCATAGAGCTGTTTCTCCCGTGGAGCGTCTGTCAACATGGATTCAGATGATCGTCTTGGTTCTGAGGAAGAAAATCAGCCAATATCATGTTATATTTCGATCAATAACAGCTCCAGCGCATTGATTTCCCAACTTGGAGTGGAAATGTGAATGAGCACGGACGAATATAGCCAAAATTAAAAAAAATTTCATAGACCGAGTCACCGACTTTTTCATTATCTGCTTTAAAGAGAAGTGATTATTATAGTTCTCTCGAGTGCACTGTGTATAATTTTTTTATATATATAAATACACACACATGCTTGTATATATTTAAGAAAAAAATATTATTTATATGTAATATAAATTATATATAAATCTATATACAGTATATACATGAAAATATTTCTTAAATAAATACAAGCGTGTGTGTGTGTATTTATATATATATAAAATAATTATACACAGTGCACCCACATATAGTATGTAAACACAAACTTTTATTTTGGATGCGATTAATCGCTATTAATCGTTTGACAGCCCTAGTTCTTAATGCATGCAAGTTTTTATGACAGCCACCATTTAAATGTTTATATTTCATATAACTTTCTTATTATAAAATAAATGAAAGTGTCATTTAAGTGTTTGTATATTACCTTCGACATTATAGTATAAGGCTAATGAAGCCTATAGGCTACAACTGACTCCCATAGTTTAAGAGATTTGTTTTCCTCAAGAAAAATTGCCTTCTATAGTACCTGATATCCAAAATAATCGATATTGAATTGAATCGTCATCGAAATCCGAATTGAATCTAATTGCAAGCTTGTGAATCGAAATCGAAAGTGCAAGCCAGAGGAACCCGACCTCCATCAGTGACAGAATGGAGAAAAGCCCTTCCGTCGGGATTCAGTTCTCCTCTCCAATCATATGAATGTCAGACTGTGGGTCATTGACACGGGCGATGAATCCTGTCGCTTGAATCTGTCATAACATTCCCACGGTGTTTTTCCTACACACAGTAAGTGACAAAAATTGAAAACAGAAAGAAGAAACAACATTCCATTGCTGGATGAAAAAGCACTTTATTGATTACAGTGTCATGTGTCTCTGCAGGAGCGTCCCAGAAGGCTTGTGTTTTAGTGCAGACCCTGTGTAGTTTTCCCTCTTAGTTAGTCCAAGTGACTCGCTCAACATCTGTTTACACCGTTTGGCACACGACCTCTCATACGAAATCTGGATGACATGCGCTGAATTGCTACCAGTTGGAACAGCATAATGTGGGCCTCAGATTCGGTTCATGCTTACTACTGTATGTTTATAATGCAGAAATCAAGTTTTGTTTTGGCAGGTACCACTCAAATTTCCTTCAGACATACTATCTAGTTATTTAGCAATTTCGTTTGCAGTTGTAAGTGCCACTAAAATTACACGCTTCACCTTTTAAAAAGCACCTAATATGCTTTTTTTTACATCTTTCTTTAGTCAGTCCCTCCAGGATTTCACGATTTTTTTTTGTGTGATTTTTGCGATCAAAATGACTGATTTTGTGGTGGTAATTTCCAAAAATTTGTGAAAAAATTTGCGATTTATATTTAACATTTACCATAATAGTATTCAGTCCTTCCAGAAAAACGCGGAGTTTTTTTTTGTGATTGTTGCGGGCAAAAATTGATCGATTATGCGGCCAGTTTTCTTTAAAAATGCGATGGAATATGTGGGATATTTATGCAATTTTATGGGATGAAATTGCTGGAATTTGCAAAAATTGAGGGAACTTTGATGAAAAAGAGAAAAAAGTGATTCCCCCAACATCCTGTTAATATAAGAGTCATTTCTTATTACTTCCTTTGATAAACAAGCATACTACATCATATAAAGTGCTGGGAATATTTAATTTCTCATCTTGTTTTATTTCAGACTGTAAGAGTGTAAATAAGGTGTGGCCCCTTTAAGAGCTGCGCGCTCCCTGTTGAACTCTCTGCAGTGTTATATGTGCGCCTCAAACACCCCATGTGTGCGGGTAATTTCTGTTTGATGCTACTACTTTTATCTTATGTTGTTTATTAAGTAACGATGTGACGGTAGAACGTGTGACAGACAGTTATACGAGTTCGATTTGTGAGATGTCGATCGCCTCCGCGAGTCTGTCTGGCGTCGCGTAATTGCGTCACTTCATAACGTTCCCATGGAAACAGGGGGAAATGGCTGCTCTTGTGTGAAGCAAACGCAACATTTTTCAACTTTCTGCTAAGATACATGTGACTTTTTTTTGCAACGAAAATGCGAGGATTATGAAATTATGCAAACCCCGCATATTTTACACGGAAATCGGCAATTTATGCGGCGAAAGTGCGGCGTATTTGAAAAAATGCGGCCCCCGCATAAATATGCGGACTTTGGCTGATTTTGCATTGAATTCAGCGATCGCATAATCGCGTTTTTCTGGAGGGACTGTTTAGTGTGTAATGTTGAAAAAATCAGTGTCAGTGTTTCTGAACTCATGAAACGCCTCCATTGTAGTCTTGAGTTTCTTCCGTGAACGAACACGTGACAATATTCCTCATTTAAATAATTAATGCGCAGGATAAAGGGGCGGGGCCTGGTTGAGTTAGTTATAGTGTGTAGTTATGGTAAGAGGCGGGACATTTCCCAAACATGCTCAAAGCGCTCGACCACTCACAACACTCTGATCCAGCCGACCAATCAGAGCACAGTGTGCTTTTCAGAAGGAGGGGCTTCATAGAGACAGGAACTAAACAGAGCGTTACTCGCAACAACTTGAGATTATTGGGAAAATAATGTGTTTTTGTCCCCAAAAACAAAATCAAGACTTTGAAACGGGGCATAATGGGCTCTATGCACGGCAGTATTTCCGGTGAAGGATTAAGGATGCTCGATAACTTCCGCCGATCGTAGAGTCCAATGCAATACTGAGAATTTATATTGAATTTTATACTCCATGGTTATACTAAAGAAACGTTAGTCACAAAAACAGATAAAACAGACACCCCTCGTTGTGTTTATGCTTCTTTTTAAAATTATATTAAATAAACATAACTATATATAAAATTACATCTAAACGTATGTACGTTTCGTTTCAATGACGGGAGGACAGTAAATTTTGAAGTTTTCCTCGGTTTTCCTCCGCTTTAATCTCCACAACCGGAAATGGACGAGCATCCTTGCGTCAAATGCGGAACTTACTGTATGTGTGCATATAGCCCATAGATCGCCTTTACGGTAAAACTGTATTTGTCTTGTGTATTTGCCTGTAGCACATGCATGTTCAGCTGTCTACTGAAGATCATCTGGTTTGGAGATGAATGGTGGTCTTGGCCTCTGGGGAAGAAATGTGTGAAAAGCAACACCTATGTCACATAATGTGCTAAAGATGGCTAACAAAAGCGTATCACGTTACCTTGGGCTGCTGCGGGAAAGGTTCACTGCTCACTTGATGCTGACAGATATTGAGAAGTGAACTCTTTCATTCCATGTCCTGCTCTTTTCTTCTCTTACGCTTGTGTGTAAGCGTAGAGTTAGCGGGGGCTTAGCAGAAACACAACTTTGCTGTACACTGTAAAAAACAAAGTAAAATTTACTTAATTTTTTCAAGGCAAGTTTTTGCACTGATATTTTTTGAGTAAATTTCACACATATAATTAAGTAAACTATACTTAACTAAGTTAAGTGAAAATAACATAAGATTAAGTAATATCGGTAACACTTTACGGTAGGGCTGGGTAATAAATATCGATTTCTCGATATTAATCGATTCTCATTTTTACGAACCGATATCGATTCTTAAATCTCAAGAATCGATTATTCATCCTGTTTCATTTGAATGAATGGGATTGTATCGCGGCTGCGCGCTTAAAAAAAATCGCAATAATCTTTGTCCTTTGTTACTATTGATATGAAGCAAAGTCTCAATTTTCAAATTACGTCCATTTTCTTTAGAATTTCAAAAACATAAATAGTGTTTTGGCGCTGTGGCGTGAGATCGCTCTGGAGAAGCAGCAGCGCTGATCTCTCTTCCGGCTTAATAATACCAGTCACAGCGCCAAATAAACATGAACGAGCATCTGAAAGTGTGTTAAAGATAGAGTACAACTTATCGAAATCCTGATCATGTCACATTGATTCGCTCAATCAGCGTTTTAACCGTGGAAAGACGTCAGTTAAACAGCTTGTAATCAATGTATCGTCATATTTACCTCAGAAAACCCACATAAACTCGTTAGTCAGCTAGAAAAAATAACTCTAGAGAGGAGCATTTTGCTAAATATATAGCCACCATTTAAATGTTTATATTTCATATAATCTTCTTATTATAAAAATAAATAAAAGTGTAATTTAAGTGATTCATTCATTATTACCTTCATATTAGGCTAATGAAGTCTATAGGCTACAACTAGACTCCCATAGTTTACAGCATTAGTTAAGAGATTTGATTCCCTTGAGGAAAAAATGCCATTTATTGTAACTGATATCCAAAATAATCGATATTGAATCGAATCGAATCGTAATCGAAATCGAATCGAATTGCAAGCTTGTGAATCGAAATCGAATCGAATTGTGAAATTTGTCTCAATACCCAGCCCTACTTTACGGTAAGGGTACATGAATTATCATGAATTCATGTATAAGTTAACACATGAATTATACATTCATGCATGCATTAATATCTCATGAATCATCAGGAACTAACACAAGTTCAACATTTTTCATTCATGACTTCATGAATGAACAACACCTTAATTAACACATTAACTAAGATGAGCACATCATCATGAATTATGATTTATTACGCATGATCATGATGTTTTCTTTGTTCACATTTATGCCACCTTTCAATAGTACATTGTTCATCAGTGTTTCAAAGGACCTAGTCACCACTTCAGTTAAGGGGCCACACACATGATGACGTCATTGATAGATAATGCTTAGTTAATGATGACTTCTGTATTTGATTTACAGAATGTGTGTGCTATTAGCTGTGATTGGTCTATTATGGTGTCTGTCCAATAGTCATCATTAACTAAGCATTAATCTATTAATGACTTCATCATGTGTGTGGCCCCTTAACTAAAGTGGTGTCTAGGTCACTGACCTAGACAAAGAACAAAGAAAACATCATGATCATGCGTAATAAATCATAATTCATGGTGATGTGCATATCTTAGTTAATGTTTTAATTAAGGTGTTGTTCATTCATGTAAAACGTTGAACTTGTGTTAGTTCCTGATGATTTCTGAGAAATAATGCATGAATGAATGCATAATTCATGCATTAATTTATACATGAATTCATGATAATTCATGTACCCTTACTGTAAAGTGTTACCGTAATATCTATTGTATTTAATTTAATTTTTCTTAATACAACATTTCACTCATACAATATAACATTGAATTAGACCACACTGTTTAAGAATGTGTCATTTTAAGTAGAAAATGAACTCCAAATGTCACAAAATGGCAAATTACTAATCCTAACAACAAAAGTAGTGATAAAATAGTGTAAATACAGCTGGAAAACAGTGAAAAATCAACCTCAATCATTATTCATGGCCCAGTGCATGATGGGAACACCAGTATCAGAAAAGTTGAGTAATTTTACTTAAACTTATAATGTTGATATTTACGCTTTCATTTCTACACGATTTACTTATTTTCTTTACTTATTTTTTTTAAATTCTTGCCTGAACTAACCTTTTTCATGTAAATTAAATTGTTTTTTTTTTTTCTGTAGTATTTACTTCACCACAAAATCATTTTTATCAGTGTAGAGCACAACAGTAGGGATCCGCAAGTGAAGATCTCATGTTTCCCGTTGAGCGTTAGCAACGCTTTAAGACGAGACCTACCATGAGTTCTGAAGTTAAGCTTAAGAAATTATATTATTATATTTAGTGCTGTCAAACGATTAAATTGCGATTAATCGCATTAATGTCATTAACACAGATGAAGTCATTAATGCACATTTATTTTCGGGTACATGACACTCCAGTCCCTTCAGAAGAGCTCAGTCATCAGTTCAGACCGATTCAACGATCACTACTGGAGACGGATTTAATAATCATTATGGAAATTGTGGGATTGGATGGGATTACTGTAAACTCAACAGAAGACTGTGGGATCACTTCAAGTTCTGACAAGTGAAATGTGTCATTTACGTACAAATACAGCACTTACAAACGAGTTTCTCAAACAACAACAGCCGAATAATTAGTTTGAGGCTAGTTCTTACTACTATTTTGAATTAGCATTTTATATATATATATATATTTTCCAGTTTCATTTTAAATTTAGTTTGATTTTAAGCTCTTTTCTTGTTTATTTTCTTTCTGAAATATTTAAAATTGTACTATTTAGCAGTTTTAGTACTTCAACATTTTTAATTGAAGTATTAATTATTTCAGTTAGTTGCCAATGCAAAATTTCACTGGTTTTCATATAGACCATTTCACAAGATGTAAACAACACTGGTCCAGAAGCACTTCCTGTTTCAGTTTGTAACTGTTTTCTTTTTTTCACATGTAAAGAAAACATCTTAAAGATGTTTGTTTAACTTTTTGATTCAGTTTTAAATGTTCTGTTGGTTGTATTTTATCCCAGCTTTTATGTTGTGTTAAAAAAACTGAAACTGGAAGTGCTTCTGGACCAGTGTTGTTTACATCTTGTGAAATGGTCTATAATTTTATTTATTTATTTTTTAAATATATATATATATATATATGGACCAGTGTTGTTTACATCTTGTGAAATGGTCTATAATTTTATTTATTTATTTTTTAAATATATATATATATATATATATATTTTTTTTTTTTTTTAAGTCTTCGTTTTAACTCATGACTACAAGATTGGTTTGAGGCATTTAAAACAAGTAAAGAGATATACATTATCATGGATGAACTGTAACCTGCTTATAGTTGAAATACTTTCTGTACTTTTATACTGTATTTTATACTTTTATTCTACAGCTTAAGCAGAATATAAGTAGATAAGCAGATCCCAACAGCCAAAAGTCTGACCATTAGCTGACAAGTGACCAAAATATACATAAAACCACTGTTAGCCAGTCAATCTGGATTCAAACACTAAATTATAGCATTTCATTTGATGGGAAATGAGTTGTGACTGAAGTCTCTTCAATAGTCCCAATCCCTCAGTAAGACGTGGTGAAATGCCATGAGAAACCCTGTCCTCGCAGCGACGCGTTCCTTACGCATCCGTAACCCAGTTCAGATGAGCTGAACGGGTCTGATGAGGCGCAGGGAAACGGCTGATATTTCAGCGCTCGGAAATCAGGCTCCACTCTCTTACGCGGGTCAAGTATTCCCAGTTTGGAAACCATGCTGTTGTCATGGCGACCTTGTTCTCTGAAACCTTCATCCGACTGTTTTGGATTAGGAACAGCCAGTGACTTCCACGGCATCTACTCGAGCAGCGCTAATGCAGTTCAGAGGAGATGCCCTACTTGGCTTTAGAAAGGACACACACACACACACACACACTGGGATAAGTGCAGTAAACTTGAGTTGTAAAAGAGGTAAATGACGACATCCAGATCGCTGACACATTCTGAATGGGTTGGTATACGGCCAACAGGCGGGTTTTAGACAAAGCAAGTGGTGAGAAAACATAAAATGCTTGCAGGAGTCAAACACACAGAGGAGCAAATTTATCACGAGAAGTCATGTGAGCCGACAGTGATGATGTCACGCGCATGCTTCCATTCCAACAGCATCAAGAAGACAAATGTTCTGTTACAAACCCTAATAAGATGCCCACTTAATAATACAACAGTAAACCATTCATATATATATATATAATGCACTATAGAAGGATTTATCATGCATTAATTATGCCTTGAAATGCACTGTATTGTCTTTTGTTAGCACAATACTTATCTATTCATTCATTAAAAAAGTATTATATATTAAAATACATGACAAATTTCAGATGTAGCAGAATTGGCAAATATTATAATGCATTTTAACTTGGGTTACAATTATTTATGAAAAGATATAATGCATTATATAATAAATATTATATGAATTCCTTTTATAATGCATTATACATTGGCTTTTTACCAATAATAAAGTATTTTAATAAAAAAAATATTCAAATTAAAATATAATACAAAAATATTTGTTAAATATATAGAGAAATAATTAAATGTATTATAAATATTAATAATATAAATACTTTAAAACAATAATTAAGTAGAAAATTATTCAAAATATACAGATTAAATATATACTATATATAAATATATTATGTTAATATGAAATAAAATTATATGTATTGTATTTTTTTTCCAATTTAACACATTTAATACCGATATATAAAATAGTATATTCTCATTTCTTGAGCTTAAGCTTAACTTTTATGTCCACAATTATAATATATATTGTTATGTGTAATGTGTGTGTGTGTGTGTGTGTGTGTGTGTGTGTGTGTATATATATATATATATATATATATATATATATAAAATTGTAAAATAAATTTAAAAATATATAAAAGTATTCAGATACGGTCACATTGAAAATATAAATGTTTTTTATTTTTTATATAAAACATTTAATACAGATATTTTATATAATGTAACATAATATAATACTACGTGTACTTTCTACAGTAATCACATGCATAATTACAAGTAACTAACCTAAACCTAACCCTAAAGTTAGTGCATGTAGTTAATTAATATAACTTAACATCACCTTAAAATAAAGTGCAACTTCAATTAATAACTGGGTTGAGTTTATTGATATCCGATCAGTGATAAATGTAATATGTGTGTGTTTGTGTTGCAGCTGAGTTTCCAGCACAAAGTGGGCGTCCTGTACTGTAGAGCTGGGCAGAGCACAGAGGAGGAGATGTACAATAACGAGAACGCCGGGCCGGCGCTGGACGAGTTCCTGGATCTGCTCGGTCAGAGAGTCCGACTGAAGGGCTTCAGCAAGTATAGAGCACAGCTGGACAACAAGAGTATGTGTGCATGCTGACCCTGGCTACATATGACATATTATGCATTTATATATATATATAAATATATATTTGGGCTGGGCACCAATTAATCGCATCCAAAATAAAGTTTGTGTTTAGTGTTTACATAAAAATATATGTGTGTGTAATTATTTTTGTATATATAAATGCATACACTCATTTTTAGAACATTTTTATTAATACACAAAATATTATATTTTTATATAAATATATATGCAGTGTATACATGCAAATATTTCTTAAATATATGCATGCATGCATGTGTGTGTATTTATGTTTATGTATATTTATACATGTATTTTAAACATAGATGATTTTGTTGAAATTGAAAGAACGGCTTTTGATGAAGAAGTTATGAGTTGAAATTACAAAGCAATCATTATATGTCATCGGTTTCCAAAAAGGGTGTATTTGGATGTGGCTGGGGAGTGTGTGTGTGTGTCAGGTCAAGTAAAAACCAATTAAGTCAGCAGAGAAAAATGTGGCGTCTTGTTTCTGCTGTCTTTGTTCCCTTGTGTCTCAAACACAAGAAGTGTTGTTGACGACTGTCCTCCATTACAGCGGACTCCACCGGCACTCACTCGCTCTACACGACCTACAAGGACTATGAGCTGATGTTCCACGTGTCCACGCTTCTGCCCTACACACCCAACAACAGGCAGCAGGTGTGTGTGTCGTCCTCTTTATGCTAATGAGCTCTCTTGTGATTGGCTAATGTCTTCCCATAGGGGTTCTGATTACCTCGATTTCTTTTATTGTGTCCATCCATCCCAATCCATCCCAATCCATCCATCCATCCATCTCAATCCATCCATCCATCCCAAACCAATCCAATCCAACCCATCCATCCATCCATCCATCCATCTCAATCCATCCATCTCAACCCATCCATCCATCCATCCATCTCAACCCATCCACCCATCCATCCATCCATCCCAATCCATCCATCCATCTCAATCCAATCCATCCATCCATCCATCCATCCATCTCAACCCATCCATCCATCCATCCATCTCAATCCATCCATCCATCCCAATCCATCCATCCATCCATCTCAATCCATCCATCCATCCATCCATCTATCTCAATCCATCCATCCCAAACCATCCATCCATCTCCATCCATCCATCCATCCATCCATCCATCCATCCATCTATCTCAACCCATCCATCCAACCCAATCCATCCATCCATCTATCCATCTCAACCCATCCATCCATCCATCCATCTCAACCCATCCATCCATCCATCCATCTCAACCCATCCACCCATCCATCCATCCATCCCAATCCATCCATCCATCTCAATCCAATCCAATCCATCCATCCATCCATCCATCCATCCATCTCAACCCATCCATCCATCCATCCATCCATCCATCTCAATCCATCCATCCATCCCAATCCATCCATCCATCCATCTCAATCCATCCATCCATCCATCCATCCATCTATCTCAATCCATCCATCCCAAACCATCCATCCATCCATCTCAATCCATCCATCCATCCCAATCCATCCATCCATCCATCTCAATCCATCCATCCATCCCAATACATCCATCCATCTATCTCAATCCATCCATCCCAAACCATCCATCCATCCATCTCAATCCATCCATCTCAATCCATCTCAATCCATCCATCCATCTCAACCCATCCATCCATCCATCTCAATCCGTCCATCCATCCATCCATCCATCCATCCATCTCAACCCATCCATCCATCTCAATCCATCCATCCATCTAAATCCATCCATCCATCTAAATCCATCCATCCATCCATCCATCTCAACCCATCCATCCATCCATCCATCTCAATCCGTCCATCCATTCATCTATCTCAATCCATCCATCCATCCATCCATCCCAATACATCCATCCATCCATCCATCCCAATACATCCATCCATCCATCTCAATCCATCCATCCATCCCAATACATCCATCCATCCATCTCAATCCATCCATCCATCCCAATACATCCATCCATCCATCTCAATCCATCCATCCATCCATCCATCCATCCATCCCAATACATCCATCCATCCATCTCAATCCATCCATCCCAAACCATCCATCCATCCATCTCAATCCATCCATCCATCCATCTCAATCCATCCATCCATCTCAACCCATCCATCCATCCATCTCAATCCGTCCATCCATCCATCCATCCATCCATCCATCTCAACCCATCCATCCATCTCAATCCATCCATCCATCCATCCCAATCCATCCATCCATCCATCTAAATCCATCCATCCATCCCAATACATCCATCCATCCATCTCAATCCATCCATCCATCCTAATCCATCCATCCATCCATCTCAATCCATCCATCCATCCATCCCAATACATCCATCCATCCATCTCAATCCATCCATCCATCCCAATACATCCATCCATCCCAATCCATCCATCCATCCATCCATCTCAATCCATCCATCCATCCATCCATCCCAAACCAATCCAATCCATCCATCCGTCTGTCCATCCGTCCCTCCATCCATCCGATGTTAAGTTAAAGTAGAACTTATGAATGTAGTTTAAATCCAAATAATTATTTATAAATTAAATATATAGATTTTAATCTGTGACTATAAACTTAAATCTGAATACATAAACATTTATAAATATGATGATTTTTTTTTTTTTAATGTTTATTGAGAGTTTTCGTCTCAGGTTTTGAACGTCTAATTATTTCGAACTCTTCTGAACTGTATGGTATATTGGGATTTATTTTTTATTTTCTTTATTTTATATATTTAAAAAGTGTGTGCATATGCATTTTTTTGGGGAAGAAAACAAAAAAATATGTGACAAAGATGGAATTCAATAGAATTTTGTCACTTTTGTTAAAAATCGGGATTTGATTTCCAGTTACAATTGTCAGATTTGGTAAATGCATTAAATGTAATCTCACTAAATATATTTGATATGTTTTTTAAATATCAGAATAGGTTTATAGTCTATCAAATGCAATAACCTCAGTAGTAGAGCCACTCCGGCCGCATCACTGTCACTTCTGTCTCTGACAGTCGATTGGCAGGATTAGAAGATTTTCTGTCTTTTTCTTCTCCAACTTCAATTCTATTCGATTGTGCAGGATTAGCAAATAAATCCTTGGCCGTAAGCCTCCAGAAGACTCCAGCACAGTTCAGCCCCTCATCTTCTCATCCTCCCGTCTCACACTTAATCCTGTTTGTAACCCATGGCCACTCACAGGAAGGCGGGCACACAGTTAATATGACGTCCCTATAGAGCGGCTCAGGGTTAACAGAATATATGACGTTCCTGACTCTGTCGCCATTGAATCTTTGAGATATCTGTCCTAAAGAAAAAAATCCAGAATCAGATACTTATGCATGAGCTTAAGAGATTTTAAATAGTCTTCCCAGCATCTGCAGCGTCTTCTGTGTCATTTATGGCACCAAAATTACACCAGATGGCACATTGCATTTTTAACAAATATTTCTCTTATATTTTTAATGTTTCTTTTCAAACCTCCTCAGACTGGAATCCTTCCAGCAAATGAACGTGAACGTTTTGCCACACCTGCTAATTTTAGTTGAAAATGCATTTTATGTGTATACTTTTATAGGCTGTGAAATGGTATTATGCAATATTTTTAACAACATAAAATTATTATTATTGTTTATTTATTTAACTAACTCTTATTTGGCAATTGGCAATTGTTAATTTTGAACCCTGATTACCAAAAAAAAAAAAAAAAGATTTAAAATGTGTTTGAGTTGTATTTAGTACATATGAACTGGATTGATATGTCATATTGTTTCAGGGCTGATGTTTCACATTTCCGAAACCCTCACTTCCTGTTCATGATGGTGTTTGAACTGTTCATTGAACATGGACATGTCCATTCACCTTTGTTTGTTCTCTTCTCTCACCAGTTGCTCAGAAAGAGGCACATAGGAAATGACATCGTCACCATCGTGTTTCAGGAGCCCGGTGCCTTGCCCTTCACACCCAAAAACATCCGGTCCCATTTCCAGCATGTGTTCGTCATCGTTAAAGTTCACAGTCCGTGCACTGAGAATGTCTGCTACAGGCAAGTGAAGCGCACACAACCATGCCTTTCATTTACTTGATAGCTATTAAGAGAAATGAAGTGATTGTATTTGCAATTGATGTCTGTTACTTTGAAGAGAAAAGCATCAAGGAAACTTTAGAATTGCAGTTTGAACATGAAATGCTGGAATCAATAATGTGTCTAAATGCTTGCCTGTAATTTTGAATCTTCTTTTTAAACGCAGTATTGCAATTAAATTAATTGTCCACATGTCGTTCCAAACAGCTTTCTCTTATCCATGGCACACATCAGACATTTTTAAAGATGGTTTGAGTGCTTTCCCATGTAATGAACCTGCAGTAACCAGTGTCTAAAGCCAGAAAAGGGGTAAAACATGTAAAAGTAATTTAAAAACAATATGATAATATTGTTAATATAATAAAAAGTCAATATGACTCCTATTATAAGTCTTCTGAAGTCATAGGCTACTGTAGCTTTGCGCAACGAAGTAAAGTTGATCTTAACTAGAGCTAAAACAATTAAAAAATAATAAAATTTTATATTAAAAAAAATATAAATATTAGATGAAAAACTTTAAACACCTAGAAATGTCGTGAACTTTTTGCCACACCCTCTAACGTTAGATGAAAACAAAATTAGAATAAGTAAAAATGTATTTAGTGGTATTTTTTGTAACATAAGATGTATTTGATTATTATTATTTATAAATATATTTATTTATTTTACTCTTATTTGGCACTTGGCAAGGATTAAAAATGTAATTTGTTTTATTTTTTATTCATTGGAGTTTCTTTTAGTACGTATTAGCTGAATTGAACTGGAATGATGTCATCTTTTGGGGGGCAAAACTCTTATTTAAAGCAATTTTTTAAATGAAACTAATAAAAATGACAAAAGCACAACATAATTTCTCAAGCTGAAATTTTTTCGATATATAAATTAGATGAAAAATGTTAACTTCATGTTAATTTAGAAATGTTTCCATGGCGACTATCTGACATAAGTTAAAGTTGAAGCACTAAAATCACTAAAACTACAACTGAAATATACATAAATATATACATTTAAAATATATATAAATACAGACATGTTTAAAAATAATAATGTAAATGACAAAAGCACATAACAAAATTACCCAAACTGAATCTAATATAACTGAATATAAAAAGAAAAGCTTTCAGCATAAAAAAAGTGCAGCATAAAAGTCTGAAAATGTGAATATGTCCTTGCGTTTTCACTAAATGACAGTATATATTTCAATCGGTTAATCAGAAAAATCTGTTGTATGACTTCAGAAAATGAAGTTTAGCCATAAGTCATATGGACTACTTTAATGTTGTGTTATTTTTGGAGTTCACTGAAGAGAGAAATGATGAGTTTTGCTTTCTCTTCTAAATGTTTTTGTATCCGTGAAGTGCATCTTGAGTCATGTTGAATTGCACACGCTCCAATCTCTCTTTGCAGTGTTGCAGTTTCCAGATCGAAAGACGTGCCTCCGTTCGGCCCTCCCATTCCCAAAGCCGTGACCTTTCCCAAGTCCGCCGTCTTCAGGGACTTCCTGCTGGCTAAGGTGATCAACGGGGAGAACGCGGCGCACAAATCCGAGAAGTTTCGTGCCATGGCGACCCGTACGCGGCAGGAGTATCTCAAGGACCTCGCGGAGAACTTCGTGAGCACCGCGACGGTGGACTCCGCGGTGAAGTTCAGCTTCATCACACTGGGCGCCAAGAAGAAGGAGCGCGTGAAGCCGCGGAAGGACGCGCATCTGCACAGCGTGGGGGCCGTCACCTGGAGCGTGGTGGCGCGGGACTTCGGACAGTCTGCGGACGTGGAGTGCCTGCTGGGGATCTCCAACGAGTTCATCGTGCTGATCGAGGAGGAGTCCAAGAATGTGATTTTTAACTGCTCCTGTCGGGATGTCATCGGTTGGTCTTCCGGCGTCATGAGCATCAAGATCTTCTATGAGCGCGGAGAGTGCGTGATGTTTTCCGCACACGACAACTGTGGAGAGGACATTAGAGAGATCGTACAAAGACTTGAGGTAAGAGCATTCTTCTACTTTAACTATCCTACCATATAGAGCCCGACCGATAAAGGATTTTGAAAGCCGATCAAGGTCAATCTTCCTCTATAATACTATTCGAATTCCATTCCTTATTTTATGTAATATTCGAATAGTAAATGCTCAAATTTATCCTATTATTAATATTTACGACATTACACATTCTTATGGATCGTCAATGCCACTATAGCCTGTGGTTGTTGTTACACGTTCGGCCCACTAGAGGGACATCTAACATAACTACAATAAACATTTAGGGACTGTTTACACCTGGCCACTTCATGCGTTTTCTCAGATCTGATTTATCAAAACGATTCCATTTACACCTGCTCACATAAATGTGTTTTACAAAACAGATATAAATCCGATCTTCAATTCCCGCGCTATATACAGATGTAATGAAGTGCACGTCACCGAAAGCAACAGATTTGAGCTGCATTTTATTGATCATCGGCTAATTTCAAAATCAGCAAAGACAGCAATAAGAGAGAGCGGCAACAGCCCTGTTCATGTCATTTCATTACTTTACTTTTAATGAAGATGGTCGTGTTAAGCGTCTGCGACTTACTTTCACTTTGATTTGCGATAGATTGCGGCGTGTTGGCTTGATGAATAGGGGCTCAGATCTGAGGTGATGTGATCGTCATATCGCGTCGGAAGTTCCGGGAGTCTCCCGCATATTGATAGCGTCTCCCTGATGGCCGCAAATTAGTTAAAATCTCCCGGAATCCGCGCATAACATACATAACGCGCGGCGCGTGCATGGCAGAGAGGGAGTGAACGAGACCTTGTGAATGTGCCACGCGAAAGCTAGTCCCGCGCTCTCCTATTGTTAATAAGAAAGCGATAAGGGGCCGTTTACACCTGATCACTTCGGAAGTATATATTTATTTTTAAATATATATAAAAGCAATATTCAAATAGTAACTTTAGCATTCGAATAGTATTGATTTTTTTTAATATTCAAATTATATTCGAATTTCGGAATTCGTTCCAACAGAAAATCCGATATTCCGATATATCGGCCGTTTTTTTTTGTGTGTGTTTTTTGTTTTTTGTTTTCCCCAGAAACGCGCAACAAAACATTAACAGATTTCCCTTACATTATTTATGAGTTTTAACTAAAATAATATGATAATGCATTTAAAAAGAAACTTGTTTCTTTTATTGTTAGAACAGACTGATGATAGTGGTATTAGCTAGCTTTGTGGTTAGCTAGTCTATGATGAGCCATAATTTAGCAATGGATTACGTCATACTGCAAATTGTAAAACATACATTTTCAGGCCGAACAGGCCGAGGAGAGATGATGCGTCTCGTTGCTATGGCTGTCACGCGCTATTAAAGAAATACTTCAGTCACATTTTCAAAAGTTAAAAGGACAGTTAGTCAACGAAACGTAACTATTACTAGCTGATTCCGCTTCACTCTCGGCTTATTTAACAGCACCAAAACTGGACATGATAGTCACAAATTTTGTCATGCTTATTTGACTTAAGAGAACTGATGGGGATGGTCTTTTAATTGTTATTCAAGCAATGTATGTATCGTGAACAACTCAACGAGTGTTGCCAACAGGAACGGTGTAGAGTGCCCTCTTGTGGACAAACTATACAACTCCAACACTCATGACATGGTTCAAGCGTGTTTCGTCCGTTTTTATTTTATTTTTGTTTAATTTATTATTGTACCGATGGTTTGGAAAATGCCTAATATCGGCCGATAATATCGGTCTGCCGATATATCGGTCGTGCTCTACTATCATACTACTATCAATGGGCGGCAGTGGCTCAGTGGTTCATGTATGGTGTCTACAAACCGGAAGGTTGGTGGTTCAATCCCCAGTTCCAAGTGTCGAGGTGTCCATGAGCAATACGCCTAACCTCAGCTGTGTGTGTGTGTGTGTGTGTGTGTGTGTGTGAGAGAGACACCTAACCCCAGCTCCCGACATTCTTCAAAATATCTTCTTTTGTGTTAGATAGAAAGAAACTCATACTGGTTTGAAACGACTTGAGGGTGAGTAAAATATGACAATTTTATTACCTCATTATATATTATGAATTTCAGTGCTTAGAAACATTGCAATATGATAAATACGATTTTATTTGTCATATTACACTGTTTCTAAGCACCGAAATTCATAATATATTTATATTGAGGTAATAAAATTGTCATAAAAGACTTCAAACGTTTGTTTAATTAAGTTGGCTTGAGAAAGCCAACTTACTGAAATCCTATTTAAACTTATTATTATTAGTGTGAATGCTTCAAGCATTCACACTCTTGAAATCCAAATCTTTCTTATTATTCCGTATTCTTCCGTACGTTTTTCGGTCGCTTTCTTCTCCTCGCTACTTTGTGCTACAAAAACCATTCAAGTATCAAAATGTGCAGCTTTTCAAGGACATGTGTGCTATTACTTTTCTTGTTTATAACCTTTATACTTTTTAAATTATTAAACTTTTTGTGCATATTTTTTAACATGGAAGTCAATGGAGAATTTTTCAAATTCTGTTTTATGCTCCTTCTGCTTTCAAAGCCTACAACTTCTGCATACTTTCAGCTATTTCTGTCATTTAAACTTTAAAATGTTGAGAAATTTGTAAGCTATTAAAGTTGTATTCAACTTTTTGATATCTATTATACTTTTTTCACAATCTCTACTTTAGTCTCATGATGTTTTTCAACCCGTTTCTGAAATTATAATGGGAGTGAATGAGAGAGACTGTTCAGAGCTAGAGCACGTGCTAGAGTGAGCCAGCTTGAAACCTAATGCTAAAAAATAATTTTTAAATCGCTGGCCTGGCCACAATTTTCACTCTTTGGGCATAAAATTATACTTGAAACGTAGGTATTTTTGTTGTGGTTCCTCTCATGTGTTTAGTAAATCCCTGGGACTTATAGTTTTTTCACTGTGTCCTTCCAAAGGACAAGAGTGACAGACATTCCTCCATTGACAGCAATTATAAATTCAGGTCAAACTTTTGTGATCAGAGCAATACAAACCAGTTTTTTAACTTGCCAAAGTGGTCCCTTTTTTTAACTCTATCCACAAAAAAAATACATCACATCGTTCACAAAGGCCTTGTCTCGCTCACGGTCAGGTCATTTCGCCAATACAACCTATAGTTTTGTCTCTATTGAGGTTTGTTCGAGGCCAAGTATCAGCAATTTTGGCCTCTGTCTAAATAGGAAAGCTGATTGCACAGGTGATGCTGATTAGCAAAGATCAAAGGGAGACACACATAATTGGTCCTGTGTTCTTATTGGTGGACAGTCACTCAGCTCTTTTCTGAAGGATACTACAAGTTTTTGTTGCATTTATGCCTCTACTTCTCCTGTTCTCCCTCTCTCTTCCCTCCTCTTCTCCTCCTCCAATCCTCTACTCCTCCTGTCCTCCTATTCTACCCTCCTTTTATAATCTCTTCTCCTTTCTACTCTTCCTTTTATCCTCTTCTATCCATCTGCCTGTCTTAACTATTTGACTTTCTGTGTCCAAATGATCTATCTATCTATGTATAGACTGTATGTATCTATCTGTGTATCTATCTGTGTATCTATCTGTGTATCTATCTATCTATCTATCTATCTATCTATCTATCTATCTATCTATCTATCTATCTAATCCATCTATATTTCTAACTAATCTATCTTTCTTTCATTCTAGATAATCTATCTTTCTTTCTAACTATACTATCTTTCTTTCTAAATAATCTTGTCTTTCTAGCTATACTATCTATCTTTCTAACTGATCTATCTTTCTTTCTTTCTAAATAATCTTTCTTTCTTTCTAACTATACTATCTGTCTTTCTTTCTAACCAATATATCTTTCCTTCTTTCTTTCTAACTAATCCTTTCTTTATTTCTAACTAATCATTTCTTTCTTTTTTCATCCTTTCAAATCCATCTTTCTTTCTAACTAATTCTTTCTTTCTTTCTTTCAAATTCATATTTCTTTCTTACTAATCATTGCTTTCTTTCTTTCTTTCATCTATCTATCATCTATTTTTCTTTCTTTCTTTCTTTTTCTTTATTTCTAATAATCAATCTATCTTTCTTTCTTTCTTTCTTTCAAATTCATATTTCTTTCTTACTAATCCTTTCTTTCTTTCTTTCAAATCCATATTTCTTTCTAACTAATCTTTCTTTCTTTTTCTTTTTATCTTTCTTTCTTTCTTTCTTTCTTTCTTTCTTTCTATTTCTTTATTTTGAATAATCTATCTATCTATCTATCTATCTATCTATCTATCTATCTATCTATCTATCTATCTATCTATCTATCTATCTATCTATCTATCAAATCCATCTTTCTTTCTAACTAACTAATCCTTTCTTTCTCACTAATTCTTTCTTTCTTTCTTTCTTTCTTTCAAATCCATCTTTTTTTCTAACTAATTCTTTCTTTCTTTCTAATCCATATTTCTTTCTTTCTTTCTTTCTTTCTTTCTTTCTTTCTTTCTTTCTTTCTAACTAATCCTTTCTTTCTTTCTCTCTCACTAATCCTTTCTTTCTTTCTCACTAATCCTTTCTTTCTTTCTTTTAAATCCATCTATCTATCTACAGTCTGTCTATCTATCTATCTATCTATCTATTTATCTATCTATCTATCTATCTATCTATCTATCTATCTATCTATCTATCTATCTATCTATCTATCTATCTATCTATCTATCTATCTACCCCCTGTCTTTCTCTACCTTTCTTTTTTGTACTCCTTTACTTCTCAACCTCTGTCTCTTTCTCTACCCCTATATTTCTTTACCTCTGTGTCTACATCTCTACCTCTCTTTACCTCTCTAAGTAAACTTGTAGTTTTCTACAATTTTTTGGATCTTGTTTTGCATTTCAGCTTATTAAATGCATTTGAATTAAGCTTTTTTTTCTTTTTTGCTCTGTTTTGCTGTTGTTTGAACTGCAATATTTTTTTTTTAAGCATTTAAGTTAAGCTTTTGAAGCATTCACACGCATATTCCGCAGGAAATGCAATTTTTCTAGTTAGTGTGAATGCTTCAAGCAT